CGGAGCCGCGGGAACGGGCGGGACGGGAACGGAGCCGCGGGAACGGGGGCAGAGCTGCGGGAACGGGCGGGACGGGAACGGAGCCGCGGGAACGGGGGCAGAGCTGCGGGAACGGGCGGGACGGGCGCGGAGCCGCGGGAACGGGCGCGACGGGAACGGAGCCGCGGGAACGGGGGCAGAGCTGCGGGAACGGGTGCGACGGGCGCGGAGCTGCGGGAATGGGCGGGACGGGAACGGAGCCGCGGGAACGGGGGCAGAGCTGCGGGAACGGGCGGGACGGGCACAGAGCCGCGGGACGGGAACGGAGCTGCAGGAACGGGGGCAGAGCTGCGGGAACGGGTGGGACGGGCGCGGAGCCGCGGGAACGGGCGGGAACGGGCGGGACGGGAACGGAGCTGCGGGAAYGGGGGCAGAGCTGCGGGAAMRGGCGGGACGGGCGCGGAGCTGCGGGAATGGGCGGGACGGGCACGGAGTCGCGGGAACGGGCAAAACGGGCACGGAGTCGTGGAAACGGGGGGAGATGGAGCCCGGAAACAGAGTTGGTGAAATGAGGGGACCCGGAGCTTGCACAACCCCGGGAATGCTGATGTGGGTGAAAAGGGAAGGCTCTTGCCATGTGCTAGTGCTCACCTTGGTCGCAGACACTGACAGGGGTGGTGAAGGGTCCCAGCACGAGCACCTGCAGACACGTGTGCCATGAGGCACCAGGCATGTGCTGGTTCCAGGATCCAGCTGAGCTTCACTTGTGAGTTTGCCCATTTCCTTGCAATACCATGAAGAATAAAGCCTGGCTGAGTGGGCTCTGAGTGTCTGTGTTGGGGATCTTGTCACAGAATGCAGGACATCCCCCATCCTGAAGCTTCTTGAAGAGCTTCTGCAAGCTCCTCCTTGTGCCTGCAGYCGGTGCTGTTGAGAGTTGAGATGAGGACTGCAGCTTCTGAGACAGGAGATGCCCYGGCCCCAGGGTAGCAAAGGGATTAGAGTTAAACGAGCAGGATTGGGAGTGACAACAGGATGATTTGAGTTTATGCCATATAGACCAAGCTCGCTTGTGCTCAGGGCTGCGTGGAACAAGGGCCAATTATGGATAATGTGAAAGGCTTTTAATTAAGTGGGTATGCTGTGGGTATGCAGTACTGGTTACAGAGCCCATTGGCATGCAGAGAAGAGGAAATTCCAGGTGTGTGTCCCGCTCCCTTCACAGCCTTGCGGTGTGGTAGAGAAGGAGGCAGGGGCTTCTGAAACTCTCTTCTGTCCAGCAGCACCAATTCAGTGGGGTCYGGGTGAAAACATGATGGATCCAGGTCAGGGCTTCTGCACACAATTAGAGCCCCATTGCTGCACTAGGCTAGGGTCCTCAGCTGTGACACGGCAGGTCTGTAGCTGAAAACAGATTGCAGAAAGAAACGGGCTATGATTTAACATGCTCTCCATTGGAGAACTCAGCAGCCAGGCTAGCTCTGTCCCATAGGTGCACCAGGGAGTCTCTGTCACCGCATAGCAAAAAGGCAGAAGATGAGCTACATAAAGGCAAGGCAGGTTTCTGCATTAACCAGTGCAATGGGATACAGCACRAGTCTGCTGCGTTGAGTAAGCAACTGCAATTCTGCCTTGTGCTGCCTGTGAAGAAGAATAACTGTCGATTGCACTTGTCGTGTCCCATCCACCCTGGTGCTGCTTAGAGTCCCGAGACCCCAACTTCAACATGAATCCACTCTGCTGTCTAAACACCAGATAACTCATTTCCTCATATAGGTGATTATTCTTCCACAATGGGAATAACTGAATGAAACAATGGAAAACATTTTCCTAAAATACCCTAAATGMAGAACCATTCTCAGTACAGTCACATCTTTTCCAATCAAAGGAAGAATCTGCCCAGAGTTTTTCAGGTGCTCTGGAAACGTCTACAAGTTCTGTAACATTGTATGGGAAGCTGGAGGCCAGACTGGTTCCCACAGTGGTCTTTGAAAGCCATCAGATACCCGTGCATCTAGATGGCATGCTGAGCTGAGCTGAGCTGAGCTGAGCTGAGTGTTGGTGAAAAGGCAGGCAAAAGCCTCCTGTGCTAGGCTGCAATCCCAGTTTACTTGAGCCAGGCTAAACACAGCAAATACAGAGACTGTGGTCAGGGTCAGCCAAGAGATCAGACATGGCAGGCCCAAGAGCAGGCCACAAAGTTAGTCAGAGGGTTGGGTACGGGGCCAGGCCTGGCCACTGCTGCCACACAGTTGTGGTGTAGCTCAGGTGGAGGCCAAAAGCTGAAACTACACTATGAAAGCAGCTCCAAAGGGAAGGCATAGGCCCTTGCTGAAACAACCTGAGGAGATRTTTGTTGAGCTCTGAAGCAGCACACCATATGATGCGAGACTGCCGCCATCCTGGTACAGGGAGATAGACTTCAAAAGGTCCTGTGGGAAAACATCCATGCACAAGGAAGCTCTACAGGTACAATGGCATATGCAGGATGACTGTCAGCCATCACAGGTTTCTGTGCTTCGTTTAAAGGTAGATGCAACACTCTAAATGTCTGTATCATTTCTGTATCATTGCAATGGATACAAGTTGAAACACAGGCAGTTCCATCTCCACATGTGGAACAACTTTGCTGTGAGGGTGCCAGAGCCCTGGCACAGGCTGCCCAGGGAGGCTGGGGAGTCTCCTTCTCTGGAAATCTCCCAAACCCGCCTGGATGCGTGCAAGTATCCAGTGCTCAGGGTGTCCCTGCTGGAGCAGGAAGGTTGGACTGGATGTTCTCTAGAGATCCCTTTCAATCTTAATGATTCTGTGATTTCTAACATGGGATACAGTTGGACAGTTTAATGCTTTCAGCCACRTCACTCCATGCTGTTTTTTCAGGCTCCAAGACTCTGCTTTTCACTGAGAGCAATAGCACAGTTTTGCTGTCCATGGTGTGTAGTTTGTTGTCACCTGGTGTGTAGTAAGCCAATAATCACACACACAGGAGAGGGATTTGCTTGTTTATTTTGAAGTTGTGCAAGGCCAGGTGCTTGGTGGCTTCCCAAAAAGCAAGCACAAACTCCTAACTTTCCAAAACTGTATTTACACACTTGATTGGTTAGTGATGTTACACATAATTATAATTTTGCTTACTCATTGTGCCCACTATTTCTCATGCTCAGGGAAGGGGTTTTTGCCTGGGCAAGAGTCTTTTTTACCAATGGGTAAAAAAGTATTTTTTATTACTTAAAAAAGTAATTTAGTACTGATTTAGTAAACAKCAGTATTTTTAAGTATTTTAGTATTTTTACGTATTAAGTTTTTAAGTATTATAATGAAGGCAGTTGACTTAGGGATGCATAGATGCTCAATTTTCTTGCCAAGTTTGCAAAGTGTTAAGAACATTTTGATTTTAATGAGCAGTTTCAGGTTGTCCTTGGTTCCGGAACGCTGTCTGCTCACCGTTTGCGCTACCAGTATTGCTAACTACTTGTACTACTGATATCCCAACTTACTCTGCCAAGATACATCTGTTGTCCTTATTTACTTACAAGGTGAAGCAATCCACCCCCTAATTCTTACTAACTCCACAGCAGCTTTGGCCTCAATTTTCCAAGCACAGGTTCTCCCCCAGCCTGGCCTCAGGGCCTGCAAGTATTTGAGAGGATTCCTGGGGGGAACTTGCGCCCTTTCCTAGGGAGCTGAGGAAGGGTCTGTGTTCAGGATTTCCCCCCCGTCCTAACTTCCCCCAGGCTCCTCACTGCAAATACTGTCTTGGAATGTGTGCTCCTAGGTGCCCGAGACGCAGACACTCTCCACTGCAGGAGTCTTGCTTGCTCATTATATAGAGGCGCTAGAAAGCTGAACTGTGATTTGGTCATCACTTCCTTTTATCTCACTGAAGAAAAAAAAAATAGGTTTGTTTTTATTTTGCTCCATGTTGTGGCCGGCGGGCAGGAGGCCCCGCGGGCCCTGGCTCCGGCCCCGGCCCCGGCTCCGTCCCGGGCCCGCGCGGGGTGCCCGGGGCCGCCCGCAGCCGCACGGGGCGGAGCGGAGCGGAGCGGAGCCGCCGCGGGGCCGCTCTTCACCCCCCCTTCCCCGGCACCATTTCCCGGCTCGCCCGCTCGGCGGAGCTCGCTCCGCCCTGGAGCCGTTCCCGAGACAGGGACCGAGCGTAAAAACAGCTCTCCCCGCGCCTGACTGCTCATTTATTTATTTATTTATTTATTTCCTAGGCGCAGCAGCGCGCGGGGCCAGGCCAGGCCTAGGCCCGAGCGGCAGCGGGCCATGGCGGGCGGCGAGGCGGCGGACGGCGCCTGCGAGGCCTTGCGCCTCCTGCAGATCGACGTGGGCGCCGGCCCCGCGGAGCCGCGGGCTGCCGCGGCGGGGCCCTGCTCGGTACGGGCCGGGGCCGGGTCCGGGGCCGCGGCGGGGCTGGGGCCGGGGCCGGGGCCGGGGCCGTCCGGGGCGCGCTGCCCCGGGCCCGCGGGGGCGAGGCTGCCCCGGCCGCCGCGCTGCTCGCCCGTTTCCCCGGGATTTGCCTCCCTGCTGCAGCGGCTTTGCTGCACGCAGGGTGCAGGGAAGGAGCCCTGCGCTCCCGCGGAGGCCCGCGCCGCGCTGCAGCCCCGCCGTGCCCCCGGGGCCGTGCTGCTGGGCTCCTGAGGCCAGGCCGCCCCTTTGCTCTCTCCTGTGCTGACAGAGGAATGTGCTTCGGAAAGAGAAACACTGGGAGAAGGTCCTCGCGGCCAAGAAGAGGAAGAGAGCACAGGAAAGAGAGAGAAGGAAAGCACGGCAGGCCGAGGGCAGAGGTAAGAGGGAGCCATCCTGCAAGCACAGATGTTGGGGTCTGGTGAGGGAGGATCGAGCAGGAGGGAGCAGGAATCACATGCGTGGGAACAGMAGCCTTCTTTCTTAGGCATGCTGGTGGGGCAGGTTCACCAAGGCCTCCAGCCAAAGTGCAGGCTGCTTTTCTCCTGCTCTGCATTGCAGGCGCTGCAGGAGAGCCTAGCAAAAGAGTTGTGAAAGCCATGATAGAGGAGCGCCTCCTGGAAGCCAAGGAGGCCGGTCCTCGGCTCTGCGTGGACCTCAGCGTGGCTGACCACATGACGAARAAGGTAAAAGGGCTCTGCTTACCACCCCCTGCAAGTGCAGTCCAGCTCTGGAGTCCCTGAGTCATGAGACTCAGGGACACCGATGACTTCCCATTGTAGGTTTAGGGGCCTGCTTTGTTTTAAATATACTATGTAGGCTTAAGAAGCCATCCATCAAAGTTAGACTGGGGATGTATGTGGCTGTGTGTGGTCACAGAATCACGCAGAACACATACAGCAGCTCTCCCAAGTTCAGGTTCTTGGGAGATTTTGGATACCATGAGGGTTTGCCTGTCCCTTGGCCACTTGCTGCTACCAGGTCTTTGAGTTTCTCTCGTTGGGTTGCCACATTCCATGAAAGCATAGGTTTCTGTGAAAGTGATGGATTAGCTGTGGACATGYTGTGAAACTGTTGCTCCTTTTTTGGAAGGAAACGAGCCGGCTTGCTGCACAGATCAGGAGACTCTATGGGGCCAACAGGAGAGCAGAAAAACCCTTCTGGCTCTGTTTGACTGGGTTTGTGGTGGGCTCTTTGATCTACAAGGAATGCTGCCGCATGAACGACGGCTTCTGCAATTACTTGGTAAGGTTTCCGACCCCAGTATTGCCAAGGCCTAGGATGAATAGCTTCCCTCTGGCAGTGACTGAGGTCTGTGCCTTGTAGCAACCTTCAGCTGCAGTGCTGGCCTCAGTGCTGATCTGGGACATGCTGAATATCTAACCTTCCGTCAGAATTAGGCCAGATGGCAGATTCTTGTTCTAGCAGCAAGCTCAGCCATGAGTGTGAGAGCTGCACGTGAGGTACGGTGTGTGGGCAGATCATCTTGCTGTGTGGGGAGGAGATGAGAACTGGCTGGGAGAAGTGGTCGTAAATCTGCCAGAGCTTCAGGGTTAGAGCTTGTGCTCCCTCCTGCCTGCAGGAGGAGAATTCCTCCCAGATGCTGCTTACATAAAGGGATATGTGGACCTGGTGTAGGTAGGCACAACAGAGTGTACAGTTTTGGGGGCAGGTCATATATTCCTGTCCTAGAGTTTTATACTGAGCTTAGTGGGCCTCCAGTATGTAGTCTGTACACAGGAGTTACGGCAGTGACGTCTTCTACAGACACATGAGACTGCAAGTGAAAAGAGTCAGGGAAGGCGACCAAATGARATGGTGATTACCAAATCTTTCAAAAATAGGAATTTCATTTAGAATTAGTTAATTATTGCTGATGAGCCTTCCTTAAGGCATGCCTAGGGATTTTGATCAGKAAAGCATAATAGATCTTGAGAAATTTGGGTTTTATTGAGACCACCTACACATTTTTGACTTTTTAAAAAATAATGCCATTTGCAGCTGTGCAAACACCAAAGGTGGTGACATCAATTCCAATGAACTTCTGAGGTTGGATTCTGCTTCAGGCAGATATACTTGGGCTAATGGGTTTGTTTCCTYGCCATCTTGCTTTTTATTTTATTTTTTTTTCAGATAGATACCACTCCAGAAAGTTACCTTGACCTGTTTCCTTTAGATGCCATTGTTTATCTCACTCCGGACTCCGAGAATGGTAAATACTTTGCTTGAGGCATAGCTGCACTATGGTAAAAGACTGAATTCCAAGCATCTAGAAATTATTTGTAAGTCTTGTTGTACTTATGGAAGTACAATAGTCTATAGTTTAAGTCTATATTGTACTTCTGGTGATTCATTTCTAAGCATTTGGTGTCTCAGATTACATGAGATAACACTCATGCAACTTACCACTGATCTGGTGGTCGTTTTACACTGATCTTAAACTGCCTTGGCAGGAAATGAGATTCTGTGTCAGGGTTCTCTGATTTGCAGCTAATTTAATTTGAAACCTATTTATATAGCCCTGCAGTTTGTCGTACTCATGGGGATAGGGTGGATGTGCTGTGACATTTGAGTTTTGGTGGAAATTTACACTATTCTCTGAAAAAGTGCAGCAGTTTAACATCTACTTTATTGCTTAATCTGTGGTATTTATGCTCCTCTTCTTTATAATCTCTTCTTGCTTCATTTCTAACTGGTGACGTGCTTCTGCACACATAGACTCATTTCTCATTTCATGGGAAGAGTCTAGCTCTGCTAAGGAAGGTGAAGGATCAAGGGAAGGTTTTTGTGGGTGACAATAATGTGATTAGAGGGGAGGCATCTGCAGAGCAGTCTCTGCAGAGATTGGACTAACCAGATAATTGACATATCAGAACAGAAAACAGTGAAAAAATGACTGCTGTGGGGCCYATAGAACTGCACTGCGCTCCTTCAGCCTACATCCCATACCCCACTTCCAGGCTGCCCACACGATCAGACAGACAGTTGTGCCGTTAAGGTCTTGGCCTACTTTATATTCAGAAGGTCTCAAGCAGGGGGTGGCTTTGGCCACCGCTGGCCAAAAGTTGGCCTTGCATGGAGAAGGTGCAAAGTGAGGTTTTGCAGAGGAATGCTGATGCTGATGCTTATTTCCTTTCTAGTCCTTGAAGACATTGATCCTAAAAAAGTGTATATCCTTGGAGGGCTGGTGGATGAAAGTATTCATAAGGTGGGTAATGAAGGTGCTGCCTGTTCTGTTTCCAGTGAGAGATCAGATAGTGCTGTGGTAGCATCCTGTACTTGTGCTGCCTTGATGTGATAAGCTTTTACTGTGCCATCAGTCATTCTTTCCACAGGATTGCAAGGTCCTGCCTGGATTCAGGACCAGGGTGAAAGAGCAATCTAGATGAGATGAACCCCAGGATCCCTGTTTTAAAGCTGTTTATATGCAAGTCACAGTATGTGCTATAGAGCTATATGTCTTTGCACACTAAGTGCTTTGTTCTTGTTTATGTTACAGAAACTGACCTTGCASAGGGCTCAAGATCAGTCTTTGCTAACAGCCCGCCTCCCAATTCGTGAGTACATGGTGAAAACCACGAACACCAAGAACTACCACTCGGAGACACTTGCAATCAATCAAGGTGAGAGGCTGTGCCATTTCCTGCCACTTGTATGGGTTTCATGTGTGTGGGGAGCCACCAGGAGGTTAAGGGGGGGGACTCTGAAATCACTAAATGTTTCACATCCTAAACKGAGGTACAGTGCTGAACTGAATGGTGGTGGAAAGCCTTGTGCAGGGTTTTTTCCTTATAGGCCTTGTCCTTTCTGCCCCTATTTTAATGGTTTGTATGCTGTCTGGTCATGTTACTAGATCTGCGCTTGCTTGCCACCTGTGGAAGGGTGCTGGTTTGTAGTTTTGCAACCCTTGTCTGCCAGGTGTTGGTGGGAAGCTGAAGTTCTGGGCCAGTTCTAGCAAATTCTGACTTCCATCTGGGGGAGTTTCCCTATCTCCTTCACCACAGGCTTGATGAGATGGCTGAATGCTCTGTGGAGCACCAAGCCTAGCTCCTATACAGCACAGTACGTTCAGAAGGAACCCTGATGTGCAGGCACAGCAGTTAAGGGGCCCTGGTGGAATCACTGAAGACAGATGATGGGAAAATCCACTATGGGGAGGAATACTGTCATCTGTAACACAAACACAACTTGGGAAATAGAGGATAGCTGAAAAGGTGATTGGCAATAACATAGAAGAGCTGTGTTGCCTTGGTTAACACAGCTCTTGCTTTTCCTGGTCAAAACTTTGAAAAGTAACTTGTGCAAGTATGTATATCATCCTCCATCATGTGCTCATCGGATTTTAAATGAAAGAAAATAMAAGTATATGCTCACCTTTTGGGGTATCAACTATGCTATTTTCCTGATGTTTTGCAGCCAGTGGGGTATGTATGACAGCTTGGCATTGATTTCAGTATCACAGTCTTGTCTGTCTCTGTGTTATTAACAGTCTTCGATGTCTTATCAACTTACTACAAAACCCGAAGTTGGCCAGCAGCCTTGAAAGCTGGAGTTTCTTCAGGAAAAGGCTATGTACTCCCAAGTGCAGTGAATTAAGTAAMACACATGGCAAAGTACAAGCAAATTCTTTATTTTCCGACGCTAAGGAGCTGTGACAAACAAGGGAAGCAAACTCCATATTTCAAGCAGAGACACCACSATGGATATGTACACAGAAAATAGAAATCAACTAAACTCTGGGATAAGAAGCTTATGAGGAGTGAGAAATTACCTCTGCAGGGTTAAAGATGTTAAAGTCAGTGCAGTTGGAGAACATAAGATGGAAAGTGATTCCTAGACTATTGAGGTAACAGTTTCCAGAAGTCTCATCTGCCTTAAACCAGCTAAAAGACTCAGAGCTGCTTAATCCCCAAACTGATTTTGTGTATTTTGCATACAGTCTACAATAAATTTTTTACTCTTCAACGTCTCTATTTGCAGTCTCATAATTATCAATGTATGGTGCCTTGAGAAGTTCACTTGCCCTCATGTTCCTCCTAGAAAGCCAGACAACTAGGGTTTGACTGTGCACTGCCTGAAGAGCATTGACATATTTCAGGACCAGAGCAGTAAGCATTTTGATGTTTCTTCTGCATCTAACTATAAATTTTCCTTCAGCAATTGCTGCAAATAAATAAGTAAATCMAGGTGGGTGTCTAACCAGCACTGGAAGCAGTTGAATGTCCTCTGAGATAAATTCCTCTCTTTGTTTCCCTRCATGTCTTCATTGCTCTTTGCGCTAAAACTCTTTTACAATGCTTTGGATGAGAGACACAAAAAATGTCAGCTATTTGAGGATATAATGAGCGTTGCTCCTGCACGTAGACTGAGTTTGTGTACAGTCCCACTGGTTGTAGGTGTCTCTTGCTTTACTAGGTCTCACAGGCTCTTCCTRTTTTTACTCCATGTCCCCTGACTGGTCAACTATTGGTTTGTAGTCAGATGCCTCACAGCCGTTCTGGTGATGGGGCAAGATCTGCAAGTTGCCTTCATTGTGGTATCCCTGTTTGAGCAGGGAATTTGGACKAGATCATCTCTACAGGTCCCTTCCAACTTCAACCATTCTGTGATTCTGTGAGTATAAGAGACTTTAATTTACTAATTCAGACCCTGAATCTGCTGGGCAGCAGCATACAATTACTCAAACCAGGCAGCAGTGATGAACTGCTCTGAAATGCTGTTTGGGATGTGCAAGCTGAGTGGTGCCTTCCCCAGTAGCTGGAGACATCTTGGCCRTCCTGTCCCTATGCAAACAGACTGCCTTTGGTTAACTATCTGGGTGTCTGCTGGGCATGCCAAGATCGATGGCTGCCATGGTTTTGGTGTAGTGCTTCTAAGTGCTGCTGAGTGTGYGAGTGCGTGCTTGGCTGCTTCTCTCCGGTTTGGCAGGTCCTTTAGAGCTGTCACAGCACCCCAACCTTCCTTCAGACCATTTCCTTCCCTCCCAGTGGCTTGTCTTGTGCCTGCCRAAAGGTCTCAACCTTTTCTCTCACAACAAGGCAAAAGTAAGGCTGGCCTCTTGGATGTCATAGAACATTTGTTATGGAATATCATGGGCACATATGATCTACACATTGTCCTGCCGCTTTGGAAGGAGTGGGGTGTTTTGTGGAGCTGGCCACCTCTCTTGTAAAGGCCTATCTGCTTGACTCATCTGAAGGTCCTTCAGATGTCTCTGCTGCCTCATGAAGGCTCCTCTATCTTGAACACAGACTTTCAAATGGATGCACCAACAGACAGCACTGCCGACTTCTGTCTGCTGCCTCTCTACCTCAAACAATAGAAACACCCACACAAGGGTTAAACACCAAAAGTTGAGTACCTGCCTCTGCCCTCTTCAGCGCTGGAAAGCTGAGGTAATGCTTCCAGTGATGGAAGTCACGCTGATCCCACTAAAGATGCACAGCTGGAAGACATTTAAAGGCAAACAGCTCACATTTAGCTGAACATATAGAATATAAAAGGACAAGAACAATTAGTAAGAAGGCTGGAAAAGGCTTGTTTTCTCCYAGCCTGGTGGGTGTAAAGGGTCATTTGCTCTCTAACAACTGTAAAAGGCAATACTTCAGTGTTTTGGATCACTTCTTCCTTTTTTTTTTTTTTTGGAAAATTAGGATCCCCAGGTAATTAGAGATTTAGACTGAGACTTTTTTAAGCATTAGCAGAAGGCACATATTGTTATGGATAACCCCCTTTTTCTTGCCTTGCAAGAAGCAGCAATTAAATACAGAATATACAGAATAGATTATTTACAGAGTGTCTTTTTTTTTTTTTCTTTTTGGCTACAATTCCTGACACTTCCTTAACCACAGATAAAAGCATCTGGGTCCTCTTGCATCAGATCAGGGCCAGGCAGAAGTGACCTCACTCACATGAAGAGCCTGCCTGATCTCCTATATATCTGAATAGTCAGTAAGAAGTGAGAGGAAAGACAGGCCATCTGCAAAGKGCTCCTGTCTTTCCCCACAAATGACAAAAGGAGGCTAAAGCATCACCCTGAGACTAGCTATCTGCAAGGTGTTCAGGATATGAARGACAAGCACCTGACAAGATACATGGGCCCGAGCCCCTGAAGCACTCTGTGCATTTGCAAATTAGCCTGAGATTGTCTTTGCAGAATCTAAAGAAGCTTGGTTGGATGAGGATGGACCTTTCCTCAGGACCACCCTTGGGCTGGGCTGCTCTTCACTGGGGTGAGCAGGGAAGCATGGACAAACCAGCCCATGACTGTTCTTTGAGATGAATGACTAAATACTCTGGTGACAGACAGCAGGAAATATGGCCGGGCTTGTTCCCAATCAGCACCTCCGTACGTCCAAAGAAACCTTGTCACAAAGAGGAGGGCACCCTGAACTGCTCCRTGAGACAAAACACTGCAGAGGTAAGGGCTGCGTGCTGGCGGGCAAGGAGCTTGGCACTCACAGCCTGGTAGCCCTGCCTGAGCACCTGGTGAACGAGCTGAACCAAGTGGTGGTAGGTGTCTACCACCGCTGTGAGTATGGCCACAAGCTCGCTTTGCCTCTGCGTGCACAGCTGGCAGTGTGTCACCTGAAAGCAGGCCGCTGTCAACCGCACCAAGTCATCAAACGTCACTCTCAATGCATCCTGCAGCTCCTTAAGGGGCTGCTCTGTTTTCAGGAGTTTCTGGCAATTGGATAGCAGGTCCTGGGAGGCTGATCTAAGCGTGTCTTTGCTCTCAGAGCTGTGGTCTGCACATTTGTCTTGCACGTGTGTTGTTTGGTTGCCAGAGAGCTTTCCCACAACCTCGTKAAGTTCTGCAATGTAGGTTAGGAAGCAGGAGCAATCTGTGAGAAGCTCAGAGGAAAAGCTCATCTGTGCTTGTGCCTTCAACTTGGCCAAGGCCTGGATGCAAGGGTCCAGCCATGCCTTATCTCTAGCAGTAACATCTGGGTGACTGTCCACAGGGGTGCCAGGAAGACTGTGGATGGTGGCTGGTGGGGTGGTGAGGGGACCTAGAGACTGGCTATGTGTAAGAACAGTGTTTTCATGTTCCCCCTCTTTTTCAGGCCAATGGAAGCAGCTAACATAGGACAACTGACAGCTGCACTTGTCCATCTCAAGCTGTGGTGGAAATGTGTTCTTCATGTTGGAATGACCCAGAGATCTGGTCATGATGTGGCTGGGAGGTGTCTGCTCATCCTTCTTGTCATTAAAGCAAAGGAAATTTGAAGCCCTGTGGTCTGCTGTGGTCTTCCCCAGAGAGTCCAAAGGAACTGAGTCTGAGGGAAACGGAAGCCCTTGGGATGGAATTAAATGACAGTCTTTCTCCAGTACTGCAGCTTCTTCTCTGTGAATAGGAGTCTGACTGTGCTCAGACTGCTTGTAATCCACATTTTCTCCATCTTTTCTGAGAGCTTCTTCATCTGCCCCCTGACTGTTTACCAACTCTTTTTCAAAGGCTGGTCCTGCTGAAGGTGTTTGTGGCTCCTGTTTGACAGTGTCCCCAAGGTATCCACTAGTCATGTGAGCTGTCTCTGAAGAGTCCRAAAGTCTGAGTGGGTTGCTCCTCCTTTCCTTAGTTGGGTTTGGTGATGTGAGACCTGTTTGGACCCCAAATGAGAGGCAGGAGATATGAGTTATAACCCCTGAAGTGCCACTGCAATCTGTTAACAGTTGGGTGACATTTGGAAAGTCCATATGATTTTTGCTGTGTGCCTTGCAAAAGGTTTCCTCGCTTACAGCCTTTCTGTTTTTCACCTGAGACAAAYCTATGTCACACTGTTTTTCAGCAGAGCTGACAAAATCACATCTTCCTTCTTCAAAGGGAGCAGGAACAAGCTCTCCACATGCTTCTTCTTCCCCTGCTGCAGGTAGGAGATTTAACTCCAAGGTCATACCACAGGAAGATGTGGCAGAAGGGCACATCATTTCCTGGCTCTGAAATTCAGCTTCACTGTTGACCTTGCAGTGGTCTTCCATCATTTCAGCTGTCTCTCCACTGGCTTTACAACTTTTCTCACTTTGCCACCCAGTTYTTAACTCACTGTTGGAATCTTTCGTAGGACTTCTGCTTTGCTCCCCGGGAAGGTGTACAGTTTCCTCCCACGGTTGGAAAGGTGCATATACAGCACTTGCAGGATTGAGGCCACTGTCCACACATCCAGCAGTGTCTGAGTTCTCTTCCCTGTTCTGGTCAACCTGTAGGTGAATAGCTGAAATGGAAGGAAAAACCAAGTCAGTCACTGATTTTGTTTCCATGGCGTCAGGTTCCATTTCCATCAAGTCAGCTGATGGGTTTTTGCTTGCAGTGTCTCTCTGGGCCTCTATATCGGTGTGAGCTCCYGCTTCTGTGTTCGTCTTGATGTTCTCTGAGGAAGGTGGATCTGGAGGCTGACCAAGGAATGATGAGTATGACCATGGGCAGCTCTTCTGAGAGTCTGGTGAAGTCAATGGGAAAGTGATCTGCGAGGTATACTCGGTTTTCAGGAAAGATCTCCTCTTCCGCTGGCTCTTTGCATAAGTCATGTCTTTCTCCGTCCTGTGTTTTTCCCTTGTTGTCTGTCTTGACATCACGTTTTCTGCTAAGCTATAACACCATGGTTTCTTTAGGATGCAGGAGGCATTTTCTACACTGTTCCAGGATGTGAGGCTATGGCCTGCAGGTAAGGACAGAATATGGGGGTAAGGAAGTGGCTMTGAGCAGCAGAACACATGAGCATATGTGCCTGTGGCCTAAAGATCTCAACACAAGTCACGGTTATGGGTGTACATGTTCAATAYCAGCAACTGGCTCCAAGTACCAAGGGAAGGTGTCTKTTATGGTATGATCAGTCATGTGCTTGCAACCATCTGTACCAAAAAAGAGAGGAGTCTGGAACTGWGACTACAAAGACTATTATGAATCTCCTTGCTTGAATAGCTT